AAATCGGTGTATAGTTGTTTATAATTTTTTATCTGCCGAGAAGTAGAGAACTTAAATACTTACTGAAATGTGAGTCTAGACTCTAAAGAAAAATAAATTATCTTGTATTACCCATACATTACCTGTAATAAAAATATGTGTATGTAAGAAATAAGTAAATAACGTTTACAGTCCACTGAAATTTAAAATATCTAGGTATGGGTTATAAATATTGGTCTTTATCAATTTTATGACAAACTCACAATCGAAACATTTTTAACTTTGACTCACGAAACATATTTACTTAAGTATGTATCTAATTTCTAATAAAATATGAACAGTATAATGTACTAAAATGTAAAAATATGTCTCAAACCAAAAAGTTTACCTTAAAAACAATAAAAAGTCAAATTTTGAATGTTTCATCAGCAACGTTATAAATTTTATTGTGTACTTATTTAGTATACAATAAGATCAATCAGAAAAATATACGCAAATGAATGAAAATTGTTGCTTTTGGTATGACACTATTTCCGTTCCTCTTAGTATTTAAATCATTAAATGTACGATATTTAATTTCACAAAGTCACAAGAATTTATTTTCAATAACAAATTAGACTATGTGCAAAAATTGAACAACCATGTTATTTTTAAATAATACGTAGCATATGTCTTGTGATATTCCATATTAATTATTTTTATTATTATTTATTTCTCCCCTATAAATGTATATTCAGGGCACGTGCGTTGTGCTTAAAAAGGTTTTGTAAATCAAATTGTATTTATTATTATTTATTCATCATTGTTTGAATATGCAATACATAATTTAATATGATTTCATTTAATTTATTTTAAAGCTTATTCATTAATCATATGGATTTATGAGTTCCTATAACATTTTATAAAGCCATGTATTATTATGTTTTACTAGAAAAATATTAAAACAAATACAGCAAAATAATTTTTAAAACAGTTATTTGAATAATGATATAAATATATAATAATATAATACAACTACTATAAATTATGGTATAATATAATTTAAATAAGATTAATCGAGTTTAAATTGGAATACCGAATAAGTAATTAATAATATTAATACATATAGTATACTTATATTTTATATGTGCATGTTTATCGACATCGAAAGTATTTTTATGGATGGAAATTTTATTTTTTTAAATTAAAAATAAGTATATTAAAGGTATATTTATAAAATCTAACGATGTGATTATATTATTCAGAATTACGGCCAATAACTGTATTATATTGCGTCCATTGCTGTTCATGATAGTTTTCAGAAAAAAATCGATATACTTAATGCCCTTTTGGAGTTTCTGAGCAACAAATACTAAATAACATGTCAGTAGTAAAAAGTTTTTCAGTTTCTATCTATATATACACACACACACACATATATATATACACAAAAATCAATTGACATTTATATACCTTATAACACGCTTACTTTTACAATGATCGTACTTGATAAATTCCGATTTAAATGGGTCAATTTCTAATGAATCGGAAGTGTACACGTTGACGACTAGGGTTATGAAGAATGGGCACTGCAAGCGTTCCTATTCTGCCAAGCAGCACTTCAACAATAGGCTGTGTTCCGGCAAATGATTATGATAAATTGTGTGTTTGTACCTACTTAAAAAGAAAAAAACTGAAAATAATAACAAAAAGTTTTATATACAATACGTATTTAATATATATGTGTCAGGGTCTTTTTATTGTGGCATCTTTTTTTCAGTATCTCCGACACAAGTATAAATTTGACACATTTATTTTCTCCACTCAATACTTCGTTCCAATATAAGACATAAATTTATACAGTTTTGTCATTAAAAAATAAGTTTCCGTTGTAATTTATTTATCCAATGGGAAATTTTTAATTAAAAAAATAAAATATTCTAAAAAATAATTATTTATTAACACAATGGCTATATTAGTAAAATATAATAAATGTCTAAACAGTAATAAAATAGACATGCACCATAGTTTACTTTCCTTCTCGTATAAAAGTGTCATCAAAAGTTTATTGATAATAATAATACTACTAATACATATTATAATAAATGAATGATCACAATCATCGTGCCGTATATTCCGAAATAATATTTTAATCTAATAATTAAAAATAATTAATATATTAATATATTATTAGAGTTATCAATATAATCAGTAACAAGCAACAGTTTAACCAAAATGTAATCATGTAGTCTAACGTTGAATACTGTATTATTCAACCTTGGATAGTCATGTTTTGTATCGTAATATACTAATATCGTGTTGGTAGATACGATTACATTTTTACAATAGTATTTTTATACGACACAATAAGTTGTAAACCCTCCTTAAAATATCAGAACTATAAAAACAATTTTAATTTTTAATTTTAACTATCGAAACAGTAATTCAGGAAATTCCGATAAGTATAGTTTTTCTATTACGATGATACCATATTTACATTCAAGCAATAACAATTTTTTTTGCTTCACTGGTACAATTTATCTCACATAACTTCGTGTTTGATACATATTAGATAGTATTTCATAGTAAATGTATATTAAACTAAATATTTAGTATATTATTAATAATTTTAATAGCTTTAAAAACAAATGGCTTTTTACATAAATATAAAGATAAATTAGTTTTATTTATGATTTCTAAACATAAATTCATCTTAATAAATTTTGTTTATTAATAAGCAACAAAATGTGAATCTACAAAACGTAATAATATTTTATATTCAACTTAATAAATATAAACAACAAGTAATTTTTTCGAATTTAAATACCATTTAAAAATACATACTATGTACTACATAGTATTGAAAATATGTAGAACCTATACAGAATATTATAACTTAAAAATTTAATAGAGTCATTATTATAAATCATTATATTTTATAATGGTATCTGTGTACTTAGTATTTCTTTATAAATATAAATGAAAAATATCTAATAGTTTATTTAATCACTTTTCCATTTTAAACTTGTTATTTATTTTAATAGTATATTAAATTTAAAAAAACCTGAATATCTTAAAATAAGTAATCATTCATAAATATGATTTCAACAAAAATGCATATATATTAAACACTTAATATTGTATTTATAACAACATACATATTTATTCTTGTATTAAATTTGTGGGTTTTATTAACACAATTTAAATGAAATTTTTATTATTAAAATATTTACAATTTATCTACTACAGTTAGTCATCATGTTTTTAAAAATTTTTAATGTCTATAAATAACTGTTTGAATTCTTTTTTGTTAATATATATAACCTATATTTACAAAAAAAAAATCAAATATATTTTTTGTTTATAGATAGATCTGTGATAGATAAGAGATACTTTCAATACAAAAAAAAAAATTATGTTATGTTGAAATAGTTATTTTAAATAAAATTTAAAAATTATAAAAAAAATCTAATAGTCTTCAAAGTCATAAATATATATAATAGTAATTAACAAAATACAATTATGATAATTTATGATAAAAAAAAAACAGAGAAAAATAATCAAAATAAAAACAATACATTGTATAAAATTAATATATTTTTTTTGCTCCATTGATTATCAAATATTACCTATGTAAAATAATTTATGTGTAATTCGAATTATAACATTTTCGATAACAATGTTATTGATATAATCAAATTAATGAGAGGTTTTGGTAAGAAAATATAATATTTTACTTGATTTAATAATTATCTAAATTATGTTTACACTTTTTGAATGATGATGTCCACATATACCTATAATATGTTAATAATAAGTTGTATTAGAAAAAAAATACTGCATTAATGTCTACCTACTAAGTTTATTACAATTTTTAGAATGTATATAGGTTGTAAGCAATTTACATAATTGGCTAAAAGATTGCACTAATTTATTAGAATGAAAATATGATAATTTTTTCTTTGTTAATTATATTCTTAAAAAAAAAAAAAACAATAGGTAGACTTACTAGTTTCTACAAACAAATATATTATATATCGTGCTTACCTACAATAAATTCATATTTCACTTTACTTGACATAATAATGTACTATAAAAATGTATATTACCCATAATTCCTCGTCACCTAAATTCACATATTTTTAATAATTACAATTTTAATCGTTTGAATAATATTGTATAATAATGCATACATGTAAATTTAAGCTTATAATTAATTTTTAGTGTAATTCAGGTAAGTACCTATTGGCTTTTCTTTTAATGCTAGATATCAGTTTAATAATATAATATTATATATTTTTATTCGTTAACATTTGTATTACATAAATTTTATGTCCAATTTACTATTAAATTTTAAAACATAAATTTAAAATATATCTTTTACAAGAAAAAAAGTATTTTTACCTTATAAAATAATAAATTTAGAATACGATATTTAAAGATACAATCAAATCAATATTTTTTTCATGAACTAATAAATTAATTTTTCAATATAATTTATCAAAGCCTAATTGGTATATATAAATAGAAAATGAAAATCTCATCATTTTTTCGTATTTGTACAAAAATGCATTATTTTTTTTTTTTAAATAGTGTGAACTTAGAATAAAATGTAATATGTAGGTATCTACTATTTAAAATAAAACAATGACAAAAAAATATAACTTGTGAATTTAAATAATATTTTGTAAACTATAGTTAACTAAAATCCAATTAAGAACAAATATTAGTTTAATTATAATTATCTATAATGACTTTTAAATAATTTAAACTATTTTATTTTAATTTTTTAATAATATAAATTATTATTATCAAAAAAACTATCGATATAGGTTTTAGAAAATAACTTTAACTGTACAAATACTATAAATATATCTATGAACTATGACTTAGGTCTAAGTCTTATATTTAAAGACAATTTTGTTCTGCAGAACATCATCTCTAACATTTCGTCGCATTCTTATTATTTGTTTATTATAAATCGTTAAAAAAATGTTTTAGATGTTAACCATGTTTAATTTAATCCTGTGTTTAACATTTAGACGTCGGCGAAAGCATGGAAAACTTGATGGACGAAACTCAAGAAAAGTTCAGTTCATTATTTGGAAAAGCAGAACAACAAGCTGAAGATGTAGAAAAATCAGTAGAAGAAAAAGTAAACGATGTTACTTCAGCTATGCCAGAGTAAGTGGCAATTATTATTCCATGGATACTTGTATCGTTTGTTGAAATTAAAATTGTGATAAAGTTATGGCCTACTTATTGATTTAAGAGACTATACACCATTACATGTCATAAATAAGTTATAGTGTACATTGATTATTCTCCATGGTCATCTTATAACATATATAAGTTAACCAATTGTTATTTTAAGTACCAATACATATAACTACCTATTTATTCATGTATTTTATTTATAAGATAATGTAGAGTATAATGTCAATCACCAATAACGTAGGTATAAGGCATAAATATAGTTTATTTATAGTGTATACAACGTGACTAAACCAACTAGTATTAATAAACAATACATTAAAAAAAAAATCATTTATTTTGTATATTAATATTGTACTATTTGACCTACCTCAACTTAGGTTTTAAAGCATATTATGTTATTTTTTTTTAATGGTTTTAAAAGTATTTTATTTGTTTTAACATAATACATGCATACGTGTATTGTAGAATTTATACATTATACAAGTAGTAAGTATACATATTTATTTTTCTTATTAATTTATTAAAAAAAAATGTGGTATGAATCTCATAATAATGAATATAATATATTCATTATATGTTGTTAAACAAATCACCTTGCAAGAAACCCATGTATAATAATACATGGACAGAATTGTCGAGGAAACGTTTGTATACCATTAAAAAAATTGTTAACCTCCTAAAAATAAATTAATTGTTTCATGTTTAATATAATATTAAAAATTCGTGGATAAATAAAATTATAGATACAAGACAAGCATATGTTTATAAACTTATCTTATCCCGAAAAAAACTTACAAAATCTACATTCCCTAACACTAAAACACGAAAGCACGCAATGCCTGGCCTCGCGTATATGCAAAACATAGATATTTATAGAACACTCATGGCGAGGGAAATAGGTATAAAATGCTATATTACTAGGGCTAGGGACTTCTAGGAGTTTGCATGTTTTTCAATAATCATTCAAAACATAGCTAAGTAATATAGAAATTTGTTTCATGGTAATACGAGTTCATATTTAAAATTTATAGTTGCATATTTTGCATATTTGACCATTTTTTAATTATAATTGCATATTTGAGCATTTTTAATATGAAAATGGTAGTTTTATAATTATTTAAATATTTTATACAATCACTTTTAAATTTAGATCGATTTCCTAGACCAGGAATATTACATTTATGGTTTTATATATATAATTAGACATTAGTATTGTTTTTCTTGCTGAACGCTCCCACTGTTATTTATGGGCTATGGCCTTAATGGTATACCTCACACGTGATTCCTGACTAGAACTCGGGTGTTAGAAGAAAATTAATTATTTATTATGACAAGTTTTTTTACTCTAAATTAAAATTTTATTATTTATTTTTTTTGTGCATATTTTAATAACATATTTGGTAATTTTTAAAGGCATAAATGCATACATATTTTAAGGTTTTTTAGGGAATGAAGTCCCTAGCCCTATATATTACATTACCACTAATAATAATACATTATATACACAGGTCACAATAAATGCGTACATTTTATGGTATAACATATTATATGAACATATTTTACAGCCTTAGCCCTTAGGTTTATTAGTCATTACTTTTTTTTACTCATTAAGATTATGAATATGTATCTATTGATATTACAGCTAACGTCCTGTTTTGAAGATATTGTTTTTAAAATACGTATAGGTAATAATAATAATTAATAGATAATATATTGTGTTACCACCCTATAACAGTAATGATAAATCAATTACTTTTATTTATTTATTTATTTTTATAATTAGATATCATGAAAAATGCTTTCTTTTTAATTTGTTTTAAAACAAAATATTTGCTTTAATTCTTTAGAAGTTTTTTTTAATTATTTTTTAAAGCAATTAAAAAAAAACTAAATTATTTGTTAAAAAACCTAAACAAATTATTTTAAAGTAAATAATTAAAAAAAAAACATTTTAAAGACTCAAGTAAAAATATGTTAAAATAAAACTTTGAGGGTCTTTCTTTCATAATATCTCTAATCTATCAATATAACTAGAACTAGCTAGTTTTTTTTATAAGACTTACTTTTTAACACAATAATTTAATACCGAACAATATTTATGAACATTATTTTTATCGAATACAATTTCATCAAGCAATTAAATTCTTTAAGCTTGCAAAAATCATTTCTCATGTCCTGCTCACGCAAATGTGTGTGGCCGAGCCTTGACCTTTGGCTGTTATAGGTAGACACGCAAATCGTCAGTTAGTAACACTAAATATATTGTATACTTACAATCAAGATCAAGTTTTTTTTAATATTATTATTAACCTTTTAAACAGGTTATAATTTTATTTTGAATGTGTTTTTTTTTTTAGAAAACCTAAAACACAAGAAGTTATTCTTCTTACAGTTGAAGAAACTAGAATAATACCAATAGACTTAATCAAATCGGAAATTCTAACAAATGGAAATGATTCCGTGTTTGAAGAGGTAATTAAAAAAACAAAAGAAGAACAGAAAGAAACAAAAACAGAAGATTCTCTGATTGATATAAACGTAAAACAAAGTGAGAAAGAAGAAAAAGTCGAAGAAGAAAAAGTCGAAGAAGAAAAAGTTGAAGAAAAAAAGTCTGATGAAGAATTAGAAGAAGGAGAAAAAATTGCTGAAAAAGAAAGTGTTGAAGAAAATGAAAAAAAAAGTGATGAAATAGAAGAGTAAATATCAAAGAAGGTAAAATAATTAAAGGATGGCTCAAAAATATATTTAATACATTTTATAAAAAGAAAAAACTATTTAAAAGATTTATATTTCTAGTGGAATTAACAATTTTATACTTATATTTTTTGATAATATACTCCTATTATAGAGATCAAAATTGCATTAATGTTTATAATATATATTAAATTTACATATTATATGCCTAATAGTTAATAGTTTAGCTAGTAAGTTATTTTCAAAAATAATGTAAGTGAGATAATCATTTTATAATACAACAATATATAGATTAGTTATTTGATTATAAATACAATTTTAAGATTAATTTTTATACTAATTTTATACTAAAAATTTAAGTTTAAATCTACTTTAAACATTAAACTTGTTAAAGAATTCAGCAGGGCACAAATAGGTATTTGCTACCTGAAAAAGCACTGATGGTCTAAACTCCATTAAATGATTTTTATTATTTTTAAATCGAGATAGTAATATTATTTCTAAAAGTTGAAAAGTTTAATATAATTATATAAAATAAAATAATTTTGTATCACGAGGAATAATTTGTTGTACATTGATTTTAATATATAGGTAATTACGTATAAAATTATCTATAATCTATATAGTAAAAAGCAATAACTTTGTGAAGAAAAATCAATTATTATACATAAAAGAAATGGTTAAAATGTTGCATCTTTTTAGTAAAACTTAAAATATTATGTTAAAATATATTTAAATTATTTGAATATTTTAAATAAGTTATTATATTTTAATAAATGTTAATATTACTTTATTTTTTATTTTTTAATTCACAGGAGCACAAACACCTTAACCATATTATTTATTTAACAGTTGTAATTTGTAAGTAGTTAAGTAAAAACGGGTGCTGATCTAATCTTATAAAGTGTTATGTTTTTACCAATAAGTCATGGATTAACATTATGCTGAACACCGTTAGGTCATAAGAAGTGTGTCAATTTATTACCAACAATATAATTTTTCCAGGACAATAAATTTCAATCGTACCAATTATTCCATTAACTACATAATAGTAAATACTTATTCCTTTATAATCGCTATATCGTTAATGATTAATTTTGTAACAAACGTAAAACGGTAATACGCTTTAATTTTTATAAGCATTAATTATTATTAATCTATCATCCAAATTATTAAAATCGTACAAACATAAAAAAAAACATTAACAGTGTAAATAGTCGACTGCCTACTCCATTTTAATACTGGATGTTCATCTTAAAAATATTACAATACTTTAAGTCTTTAACTGATTAATACTAGTATACGGGACACGATGTCCAGCGTATTTACACGACTATATGTCATCATAATAATATATTTAAAATTAAAAAAAAAAAAAATTGAAAGTAATGTAATATTTTTAAGCCTATTTAACCTGGTGTTAAAGTTGTTATGCATTTTACTAATAAGGAAAATATTAAAAACGAAATATTTGTTCTTGTAATGTGCTCAACTCAATTAAACAAAAAATGCATCAAGTATAATGTACAGATTTTTGTAAAAAATCTAGATTTGTTTTTCATGAAAAAAAAATATTAAATCAATTTATCTGCTTTAAAAACATGGACAATTTTGTAAAATCTAGTATATTTTTACACAAATTTAATAATTAAAAAGGAGATATTGATGAGAAACTGTGTACGACTGTACGAGTGTATACGATGAAATGTAAACAGTTCGATTAAAAATTTAACTGTACGCTGGATAAAGAAAATAATGCCAGCTACTGAGAGACCACATTTTCCTTAAACCTATTGTGAAATAGGCCTGACAGTCAACGAAAATTAACTCGATTACCCATAGATTTGTAAATCTATAATGTGAACCTACCCTAACCCAATCACTATCGTCGAAGTTATATCGCGGTCGAAGCAACCTTCCTAAATGATATAGAATACTGTGAGATTTTCCGTTGGTCAGTGAGTAATAACTAACCATATTTCTCCACGTCTGTTGAGCCATCCGATTAACAATGGTTATTTTAAGACCAACCAACAATATAAACTACGAGGTAAACATACGAAAGGGTTAGGTAACTGTGATAGATATATAATTCTATTCTAGCTTGCAGTGTTGAGAAATATCTAGAAAAATTATCTAGATAGAATTGATTTATCTTTTATCTTATTTAGATAATTCTCAACTCATTTATATTTATCTTCAACTAGATAAAATTCTAGTTATCTATGAGTACCTATTAAGATAATTTATTTTTATGGGTTAAAAAAAAAAAAAATTAAAATTAAAAATATTATTTTATTTTTATTTTCTTATATACTGTATACCTACTATAACTATTAGACAGAAAATAAATGTTTAGTAAAATGTATTTCAAAATTGAATATTCATTATAAATTTGGAGTTTATCAGTTTATATCATAAATAATGAAAATTCTCAAAAACATAAAATATTATGTAATGCACTAAATCCTAATGTTATGCATAGAGGTCGGAATAACATTCTCTTAAAACAGCCAAAATATGATGCTAATATTATTACTCTCCTAAAAATTTGATAATATTCTTTTAATATTTTTTAAAAACTGTAGTTAAATATACAAAAATATGCTTTTACAGTAATATATTATTCTAAATTCAAAATATGTTTTTATATTTAAAAAAAATACAATATAATTGATACATAAAGGTCATTAATTATGATACAATTCTATATGTTTACTGGGATATTTTTTTTTTTATTTATTTAAATAAACAATTATAGGTAAGTACCTTATAATTTAGATTTAAAAAAATTTTAACTCAACATTTTATTAACTCATTCCATATTGTTATTCTATTTATAATTATCTCAATAATAACAGAATAAAAATGTATTTAATATTATTAATAATTTTCGTCCCTACAACACAAAATATCTAAATTCTAAAAAATTAATCGATATATTCTCTAATATTTTTTTTCATACGAAATATTCTCTTACCTAAAAATATTCTCAAACATGGAAAAAAAAACTTTTGCCATTCAATTATATGATTCATATTTTATATAGATTTCAAACTAAAATTTGACTGCATACTCAAAAAAAATATGCAAAAGAATATATTCCGACCTCTAGTTATGTAGTAGTAAGTAGTAAGAGCAACTAATAATAGCAAAAGTAAAAACATCTATCCCCAGTATGGCAGTACCCGCCGGCCAAAACTGTATGACGATGGTCTTCATTAGCTGTTTTATACAATTGTAAAGTATAAACAAATAATAATTATTAGTATTTATTATTAAATTGAACCGACAAAAATAAATCATCATTCTTGGATTTAAATAGAGTATTTAAATTTAAACAATTTATAAACATTATAATTTATAAGCCAATACAATTATAATAATAGCTAGGTAACAATTTTATTTTATAATACCATAACATATTGGAAATTATTAGTATAATAAAATTATTTCCTCTATTTTTAATTCAATGTTCTCAAGAATTATGCAAATTAACAAGCGATATTTTTTTAAGTTCCAAAAAAAAAAGTCTTAAATAATTTTAATCAATGCGTTAAATTAGTTAAAGAGATTTTTTTTAATATAACACCACAATACCGCCCTCAGCGTCGCACTAGTTGAAAGACTATTTAGTAAGGCAATCCAAGTGTTAGCACCTAGACGTTACAGGTTAGGTGATAAAACTTTTAACATGATTTCATGTTGTAGATCAAATATGGTTTGAATTATTATTTTTTTCAAATGTAATTTTTTTCGCTTTATAAACTCAAAGACTGACGTATCTTTTAATGAAATTTATTCAAAAATTAACTTATTTTTATTTTTTCAAATTTAAGCTTTTTTTGTATTGTGAAATCAAAGAATGACTTTTCATATGTTCTCATAAATAAACTATTTTATTTTATGTTTATATTTTAAAATGTTTTAAATGATAAATTTTTTACCTAATGTCCTAATACCTGTACCTGCCTATATCACTGAATATTTGCAAAATTAATGAAATTATCTGATATTTATCTAGATAAAAATTAGTACAGTCATCTTTATCTTGATAAATTATTAATTCTTTTCCCAACACAGTTAGCTTGTATCTCCGTGTCAGTCGTACCGGTAAATTCTCAATCAAACAGTTTTTCCGTCGAAAATTATAACTGCGTAAACTGGAGGGGGTCTCAACACTTTTCTACTTAAGTAAATGTTAAAACGTACAAAACATATTTTATAATAACATTTACAATTTTTGTATTATAGAATAGCAATGAATTCATTATCATAGTATATATAAGTCCAAGTTTGTAACAGTTGACACGACGCACGCCATTTTTAGAGAAGTATAAAGAGACATTTAACTTAATGTATTTTTTTCGTATTTAAATAAACGTATAGTAGTTATGTTAAATGATAAATATAGCACTTTAATATAATTATATAATACATACGTACATGTGTATCTCATAAAACAAATCTCAATAAAAAAATGATAAGAATTTTAACATTTTAAAATTTGAAAAGGTTAAAAATTTTAATGTTCTCAAAACTTATTTTAAACTAAAAATATAAAATTAATTTATGTAAGTTCCTTACATTATCTTCACATAAATTTTGATAATAGGCTATCAATTCGTTCTAATACCTATTTAATTTAAAACAATATAAAGTTAAATTTGCCATGTTCTAACAATTAAAAATACCAAAATTACACAATATGACCTATATATATTGTTTATATTCTGTCCGACTCATAATACTGATTATAATAAATTATTGTGATTACTGATTAGGTATACTAATTAAACTGATTATTATTGCAGTAATAAACTTAAGTAAGAAATAATAACCAATCGTAAGTAATAATAAAACATACACACGACACTGTGTTACATTCAAATTTCAAAATAATAATTGGTGAAAAACGTGCTAAATCTAAACATTATATAAGTACCTAACCTATACTTGATTAATGGTGGTTAGTGTAGGTACCTATGTTTGCACAAGTGCACATGCACTACCTACCCAAACTCAAAAAAAATTGAAACAATAAATTATAATAATACAACTGAGTACCTAATTGTAGTGTTATCAAAATTATGTTTCAAAATATAAATATAGAAATTATGATGCTGCTCGATACTATTTTTCATGTTTAAACCTCAACCACTTTTGAAAAGAATGATATGTTTTTTTTTTTGCATAAATAAATTTAATTAAAAGTTGTTTTAAATTCGGCGTTCTTTTTGAGAAACTATATTAAATAAAAGAGTGTAAAATACCAAACTAATAAAAATAAATAAATATTATAAATAATTGATAATATGATACGATATATCATGTATATTGTATGTATAACATACATACCTATTACTTACTATTGGTACCTATTATTTTTTAATGGAAAAAAATCAATTAGAATCATGCTAGATAATAACTTAAGTTAACTTTCATTATATATTAACTTATATTGTAGTCTGAAAATTTTGTAACTTTTAATTAATGATAGATTAGTGATTACTAGGGCACAGATGTTGCATTTGTAATTTTTTTTCTACTTTTTTCTTTAAATGCTAAGCAAGTTTAAAATGTGTCATGTAAATACGACCTAAAATCTATAAGTTTTAAGTGCAATTTTTGGATTTTTATTGAACTTATTCATTAATAAAACAATTTTTTTTAAGTTTTTCTTATAATTTCACTTTTTAATACTTTTTAAACCATTTTGTAAATATTGTTAGAGGGTTACCAGGAGGTTTGGCAGTAAGTGATTTAGTTTTTTTTTAAGTAACTAATTTATTTATTTAAAATTTATTTTTTATCAGCAAGTGAGATCAAGGTCTTTCACAGACTATTAAGTAGTGTACCATAAATTATATTAACCCATTTCATTCAGCGATATCTTATTCTCTATTTCCATTAATTTAGTTTTGCTTTAGAAGAAAAAGAAAATTTGACAATATTGGCATCAAAAATTCATATCATCAACTTATTTCAACAACAACAATAATCATAAATAAATTAAGTAAAATAATTATTCTTAATTTGAATTAAGAATATATCTAAATGATGCCATGACAACACAGTTGTTAGACAGAACAAAAATTATTGTCACAACGGTTGTATGTAGAATTGCTATAAAAAAAAAAAACAAATTATTAATGAGATCTGCTCAGTTAATGAGACCTTGCAAATGAACATTTTTGAAGATTGACCCTAACACGTAACTCATATACTAAACATATATAATAAATTTCTCACTTCACTCATAATCTAAAATTTATATTACAATTATTAGAATTACTTGGATGAAACACTTATGTATTAAGATTATGATGAAAAAAAACAACAACAAAAACATATTATACAACTATATTAATAGAGTATTGCTTAATTTCTTATTTATTTATATATCTATAATCCATTTATATTATGACTAGTTCTCGGCTATAACCAATTCATGTCCAGTTCAGTCAGTTAACACACCCCTCCGATTATCACTATAATATAGATTATTGTTAAGCTGGATTATCATTGAAAAATGTAGCAAGTTATCTATTGATGATTGTAGTTCAGTATATTCCAATGCTACTAGATAAATACACGCTGTATAGTTGTTGAGAAAATGATATGACACAACATAAAAGCCTATTATGCGATGGCAGTGGTGATAAAAAAAAGTAATTAGTGTTATCACCCAGTGAAGAACATGCGCCGAGAAATACTCTTTTAAGTTTTAATATAAATGGATAATATAATTTTTTTTAATGATAAGTATAAATTATACATTATATTTATTTATATAAGTAATTGATAGATATTTAATTGCTTAATCAGTTAAGTTTGAAATATTTTATTGTTGAATATAAGTTATGATTATATGCCAAAAAAAAAAAAAAAAATAAATAAACAAAAATTGGTAATATGAATTTACACTTATTTAACTTAACTAATAATTATATTTTATACCGGTTGTATACGAACTATAAAGATGTCAATAAGAAGTAACAACAATAATGTTATTTACACTAAATATAGCAATAAAAGTAAAAATCCATTCTAAGAAATTCAATTAGATACACTACAAAAAAGTATATAGGTATATATACCCATAAATAAATATATATATTCAATCTATACTTAAGATGTCAACAGTAAAAATTATTAAATTTATATTAAAATGATAGGTGAATCACACTGGAGGGAGGACCGTTTCCAGGAACTTCTTAAGATCTTTTAATTCCTATAAAACATAAATAATACAAAAATTAAAACTAATGTATTTTAAAAAACTATAATATAATTAATAATAATAAACGATATCATTAATATTTTTTTTGGATTAAAATAAGCAAAAATTTTCCTATATATTATGTAATAAGAATATAAATTAAATAAACATATTCTATGAAGGAAAGAATATTATATTAAAATTGTATAAATATAAATAATAATCAAAAATATACCTATATAATTTTATAAATCACGTATAAAATTAAAAAGAAATATAAAACGAAAAAAATGCCAATTCTTACTTAAAAATTACTACTGAAATATAATATATAAAAAAAAATTATTAAAAACTTCAACAAAATGTTTGCTTTCTTAAAAACTAGAATATATCCAGCCTAGATCATTTTGCAGTGTACCAATCGGTCATTGGTATATAATAATGAAGACTAATGTATTTTTATCAATTTCAATAAATATAAGAAAAAGCTATATATTTTCATAATTTATAAATTATTTATGATAGTTATTAATTATTTTCTTTTTATGCCACATTCACTTAATTAAATTATTTTTTCTTGTAGTGGATGTCAATTTCAAAAATAGTATGTATACTGTGATTAATACATTTTTTTATACAAAACGAAAAGAATATTTCATAAAACTAAAGATGTTTTTTAATATCATGGATATAATATTTTCATGTAGACTAACTCTATTCATCATTATTGTAGAATACCATAATTGTATTGCATACTCATCAATGCAATAAAAAATGTATTTTAATATTACTAGATGTAATTGATGTATCTAAACTGGATAAGAACTGGAAATGAGGTTGTAAATATATCATGTATTAAATTAAATCGGAATAATAATAATTTACATCAACTAGGTACTTAAAATGGAATGGTTGTGTGATGATAACTGTTTTAAAAGTGGATAGAAACTTTGTAGCAAATGAAGATATATGATTCATAATTAAAAAACTAACAGTTTAACAGACAATTGATTACCAACATTTTGGGTCAGCCAGTATTCTTATATTGCACAAACAAATAAAAAAAAATCCTTGCAAAACTATCAATCATTCATGCTGGTTAAAAAAAAAAAAAAAATTATTATTAAATACCTAACATTCAAAATATGGATATTTATTATTAAGTGAATACTGACTTTATAAAGAGAATATTTGTTAAGTGAATGCGACATAATTATAAAATAACATTTTATCATCCAAATTGGATAAGTTTATTTTCAAATTTGATTTGTCACTTAAGTAACTTCTCAATTAAAAGTATATGAATTAAGCTAGGTAATATTTGTACCATATTTATATGTTTAACTAAAAATATCAAAATAAAATAAATTTTATTACAGATAAAAGAATAATTAATTCAATTTGAGTATAAATGTAACTATTATTAGTTATATTTTAAAAGTATTATTTTTAAACTATTAATTAACAAAAAACAATAGCAAATACATACCGCATCAGATGAACTATGCATCAATCCTTGATATGTTTTCAGTTCAGTACGTTTAGCAAAAGACTTAAGAATGGATGCTGTAAGTTGACCCCATTTTAGTGGTAAAATTGGATCACAATCTCCATGACACTGAAGAATTGGCATATCTTTGTTACTTATAGCAGCCTAAAAAGCAATCATAAATATATTTTATCAAAAATAGAAGTTAACTAATGATTCTTACTGCTGGAAAAGTTTTATGCAATGGTATCCAACATGAAAGAGCCATAACTCCAGCTAATGGTTTGTTATAAGTAAAAGCTGAATACAAAGCAAGAGCTCCACCTTGTGAAAATCCGCCGAGGGCAATACGAGATGATGGTATGTTGGAAGTTTCGATCTCACGATCAATAAGTGAATGCACTAATTTTGCAGCTTCTTTGATTCCACATTCATCTTCTGGACCTGATTCATCTAATGTAAACATATCAAACCAAGAAGGCATGCGAAAACCTTGGTTTAGAGATACTGGCATCGGGCTCCTGTTAATTTATATTTAAAAAAATATAAATAAAGGTTTAACAATACTATAACTACAACAATTAAATAATTAAAACTTACGCAGATGGACATATTACTTTCATATAAGGTTGTCTTATTTGTGTCATGGCTTCGGCCCAGCCATTTCTAAGTACAAATTAATAGAATATGTTAAAAATGTAAGAGAGTTTTAAAAAAAAAACATAATTATTATATAATTAATAGTTAATCAAATAAATTAAGAAATAAAAACATTATGGGTATACCTAATGTAATATTATATTAAAAAGTAGTCAATGATAAAAATCTATAAAACTCGAATGATTAAATTTATTTCATGATTATTTTTAAAATATTTAATTAGTTTTAAATTTAATTAATAGACAGAAAAACAAGTTATACTGTACCCAGAATCTCCAAGACCATGAAAAAATATTACCTGCATAACAAAAAATGTTTAAATAGTAATGAAATTAATGTTCATGTAAGTATATGTTAAAGAATATTGTTATAATATTATAATTAATTACTTTTAAATAAATATAAAAAACACATTAAAAATCATTCTATAAACCTAATACTACAGTTTATGATATACTTATTAGTTATTTTTTAGATTAATTTATAATTTAAAAACAAAATACTGTGGCCAAAGTACTACTAAGAAGAATTAAAAATACAAAAAAATGTACCTAAGTATAAAAACAATTTTTTGAGCGACTGAGCAAGTGAATAACATAATTTACAAGTAACAACTATAGGGTTAATTACATTAAAGTAACTATCAAACCCAATATAATTTAACTAACAAAGTATAATATTTCATTAAAGTTACGCAGTATACAATCTATCTAATAATTAAAACTAACTTTGGCTGAATGGAAAATATTAAAAAAAATTTTTTATAAAATAATATACTTACAGTGGCCGTTTGTTTAACGGACGAAGATATTACCACGGGATTGATAGACATGTTCGCGACGGAATATGCGAAAGTATTGTTAGAGGAATTAATCACGAAAAACAACGAAAAAATCAATCCAATTTGGGTTAATGCCAGTTTTTGAACTGCCGAACTTTTGTGGTTATGTAAATCCATAGAAATGTCGACAAATTTCATGGAACACTAAACCTAACCGATACGAAATTTAAAACACAAAATGTTACCACGCATTTGAATAAATTATAATATTATGTCGACGGTATTATATTTTCGGTAACGGATCCAATAACACTATCTACGTTCGAATTTTTCTTTGATCAACACGTTCAGATCATTTATCCTGTTCATATTTATAACATTTATCACGATTTATGCTATTGCTCAGCGTTGTGGTCCCCGATAGGCAATAATACATTATATTATATAACACACTAGTTAGGTATTAGCTAATAATAATTATTATGTCATGGCCGCCCAAAGGACAACTTATGTTTCCCTACCTATACAACTGGTCTCCCAAACTTTGTTCAACACAAAGGAACACGCACATAAACCACTACCGCATAGGTACCTAACCTAACCTACTATAGAATAAATTAATATAAATAATGGATTTTAAATTAATTTAATGTAAATTTGCATAGGTACTATATAGATGAGTATCAAGGACATTACAGGCGATTGTGACCTATTTACCTGATGAGTTCAACTATCATTATTAATCGATTTTTTTTTCACGTCAGTGAAGAGGTCTATTGAGACGGTTTTATACTTATTAATAAGTAGTCACTACCTACTATGTTCATTTAAGCACCTTTATAATATACGCTCATATTGCAAACTATTAACTGATTTTTATACGTCTAACTATACTGCATACCTGTGTACCTATATAATATATATATATATATATGTTTACATTGTGCACGAAATTCTATTTTGCATAATATACTTATATCTACAGTCAATATTCTAATTAAAAACTAATTTGGTATTAACCTAATAATACAAAAATTAATTAATATTGTTGATAAATATAATTCTTGATATAATAACATTTAATATATTTATTAATTAGTTAATTACTTTGCATAGTATATATATAGTACTATGGGGTTAAAATTTTTAATAAATAATATAGTCTTACCTTTTAAGTTACAATAAGGGTAGGAAATTAACAGTTATAGAGCATAGGCACTCTAAATAAGAAAATTAGCTTTATAGCTTTATATATTTGTATAGGTGTGAGAATATTTTTTTACACGAATATTAAATATAATTATTTGCGTGTGTAATTGAGGCTAGTACCTAAGGTAAATGTAAAATATTTAGTAACAAATTATTATAAAATTAGTTCTGGGTAAACAGAACTAACACCTGTAAAAATGTAAAATAATGTATACTGATTAAAAGAATTTTTTCCCTTTGTAGATATGCTGACTTAGAATAAGTACGTACAATTTCCTCCATTATCCGCTTATTGTGTAAAATTATTTGTTGCGGTTGTTCTATGAAAACCAAATTTTATTATGGTTTCATATTTATTGATCAACTTATAAAATTATACAGCGCTATAATAGATGAAGTATTATATTTTCATATATCTTGACTTTTTGAAGTTTTCTATTATTTATCTTTTAAACTATATAATCTGTAACATTATATTTAAATTTTTAATCAATTTGTTTCTAAAAAGTTTTAACACAACTAAAAAATATTTAAAATATGTTATTTTTTACATTCAAAAATATATTCTTGGACAAAAATTACAAAATATCGATATTAAAACATTTTTCACCTTTTTATTCAAACTAGTAGGACATATATCTTAAATTTATTTGATTTGGTTAAAATGTACCTATATGTTTTTGTGTTACATACATTATAATAATGCCTTCAATTAGACGCTATATGTGTTGTTTTCACGTCTTGTAAAATATTTACAACATTTAGCGCATTCATGGCAAATTTGCATTTAGTAGAACTAATTATTTGTTGTAGCTTAAAATTTTAATATAGACTGAATTGTCATATAGTCAATGTTAAAAACCTATTGAAAATATTACAAATTAAAAATACTCATACCTATCTAGCTTTAAAATTTGCTTAAAAAATTAAGATTCCCTCTGAAGAAAATAATGCAATTCATTTCATCTACGTGACTACATGTAAGAACTTAGGCGGTATGGTGGGTTCTTTCCTGCAACTTATATATATCTATATTTAACTGTTCCTATATGTTTTATGTACAGAGAACTTACCAAGTCCTTCATTTTTCAACCGCTTTCTGTTATTATATTCTTGAAGTATATCTTATGTTCTTAAGTTGTTAGAACAATCTTTAGGTATTATTACACTATATTCATCATAAATATAAATATTAGAGAAGAGCGGGATATAGAAATACCAGATCATTGAACTTTTGGACAAAATTGATTTTGATTTTTTGCTATTTTATAAGAATGTCTCTACAAACCAAAGAATTGTGTTCAACGTCTGGATGAAATTTTTAAACGGAAAACAGAAACATCAGTATTCAGCATTCAACTACGGGACCAGGCATTTATCAATCATTCTATTATCTTGATTAATGACCATAATTAAATGTAATCTATATAATTTAATCTATGTAATATACATTTTTAAATATACCTTATCATTAATATACTACAAGTATATCACTTACAAACTTACAATATAATGTTATTAAATTTTATAAAAAAAAATGAATTCATATTATTATAAAAGACAATGCTTATTGCGTATATCATTGTGTGTGTGTATGTAAATGATCCACAGTCAAGTCTATTGCACTTGTGGTTCTGAAATTTGTTCATATAGGTAATAGGCATAGAACTTATAGTATATGGTAATAGGTAATACTATATCCGAGGATATAAACTCCAAGTCAATTTTTTAAATTTTGTATTTTAAAAACGGATTCAGTCTTACATAGGGATGTATTTGTTGGCTGACAGCGAAAAATTAATATTTTGTATATTATTTGCATACTTAATATATAGGATTGCCAATGTTGCCATTGTCAATGAAAACTATTTTCATTGTCATTGTGACTGGATATAATTTTTGACCTTTATTTTATATTTAGTCGAAACAACCCAAATAATTGTCTAAAAAATCTATGCCGTCTACATTTAATGGAGTTTTAAAAATAAGTACCTACCTAAATCAATTGGAATTTAACTTGTCACAAGTAATGCTGAGAAGGATCAACTATTAATTAATAAATAAATCAAATAATGTAATCCGTGTAAACTATGTAGTAGTTCCTACCTATATTAAGATTTATATTAATCATTAAAATAATAAATTTGCTAACACCAAAAATCGAAGACGACAGATGTTTAAGGATGCCCTTGATTATGAGTTATGTAATAGGTAATGGCTTATGCTAATATACGAAATTTAGTAAAATATTTTCAAATTATTAATATTAACCTATAGCTAAAAATATTGAGAACATGAGAACAATGCTTGATATCTAGGAAGTACCTAGTAAATAGTAAATAGGTACTAAGAAAAATGTGGACCATTATTTGTATATTATTATTGTCATGAATCATCACATTAATTGGCACTTATAACGCATCTCTTTAATAAGAATTAATATTCATAGGCCATAACCCATATAGGTATAAAACATAATACATAAATATTCGAAGGAATCTAACGTAATTCAAAATTGTATTCTTATTTTTAACGATCTTTCATATTTATCAAAAATACCTACCTTTATTATACTAATTGATTTAAGTGTAATAATGTACACAATAAAAAAATATAATAAATTTTTTTGAATTTTTATAAACAGGTATTTTAATTTTTTTGTTTTTTTTTTTTTTTTTTTGGGGGGGGGGGATTCTAGGTCGTGTTTTTTTTTCTATTGTCTATACGTTTAGAAATTAGAACTTATTCTCTATACATACCTGATATTTAAAAAATATATTTTAGCTAATTATTATTGATAATTTATATCACGTTTTTAATTTTTATAAATATTAATACAAAAATATTTGATGGGTCAAAAAGTTTGACAGTTTAGTAAATGGCATTACGCTTTTGATTTAGAGTGATGTTTTCTTAAGTTTAATTGTTTCTTTTAACATATTTCTTAGCCCAAAAAAAAGAAACAAATTTAGATGGTGTTATAGGTTTTGTTTGGTCGCAATACAGATATTATTATTAGACACTAGGACTAATATTGTCAGCATATAGATAGTTGATATATTATACTAATAACTTAGAAATAATAAGTTATAACTCCTCGAACACTTTATTTTAAATGTAATATGTATATTATTATCTAAAAGATTTACACATTTATCTGTGTTTGCTATTCCATTAATATGTGTACAAAATCAACCAGAGTTAATTTATTTTCTTTGAAGTCAAAATTTATTTTTATTTAAAAAAAAATCAACTCAAACCTTTGGTATATGAAACAAAGTAGATAGCTTTATATTTTTTGTTTTAATTTTTAAGATTACTCATATAATCTAATCAGTTTTAAATTCTAGCATAAAAAATGTTTTATTTATTATTAAAAAAACAACAGTCAAATATTTTAAAAACTAACAAGGTTTTTCTAAGTACTAGGTAGTATCTTTTTAATATAGTGGTAAGTTACAATGCGGAAATTTTGGCGGCAGCGGCAATGCCTGTCAATAAATAATAATAATTAGTATGTCACGGATAAAGACTTCTGTAGTTGGATACTTTAATAATATTAGTGTACATTATATTGTATAGTAGGTAGTGCTATAATAGTAAAGAAGTTTAAGGTTACAAACAATATTACATATTTCATCCATCTACTTATTGTCAACTTACTGTCAACACTCAACTGTCAAGTGTCAACGTCAAGACTGAAACAGTGAACTGTCAACTGAGTGAAGACTCCTGATTTCCAGAAAAGTACAGAAAATATCTCAGCCCTCAGGGGAACAACTGCCCATCACACATTCACACGGTTGCAGTAGTTTTATTATAGATCAATAAACCACAAAGGAACGTCTATCACAACCGCGGTTATCAAGAAATTTGACGTTTCGGCGGGTTGGCACACTGTCGTTTTCCGAAGACGTAACGTTTACGCGTTCGACCTTCACGCTCTCGACAAAGGTCGAATCCGGTAATCCGGCCGGACTGCGTCATGGGGAGGCGGTGACGCCGTAACGACACAGCAGCTGATGCAGTCGTTTGGTCGCCGTATCACTAGTTCTCGTCGTACTTTACTTGTTTCCCATTGGCCGTTCCCATTTACCGGTGACTGTCGATCGATATTCTTCAACGTTCCTCATCTACCAGATCATTTCCGTCCGACGACACACCATCGCCGCAATTCTGTTCATTGCATGTGAGTATACAATTATTTTAATAAACGACCGATAGTATTATTAAGACTAATTATATTATAGATCGTGTCTGAACTGTTTGATAAATGTATTGTGATTAATAGTACCCGCCTATTAAAACTATTTATTTTAAGTTCTATCGACATACCATTGTCATTTACACCATACATACATACATATATACATATCTATATGTATGTATACTTTTTTTTATAATTTAAACTAGTCGATAGTTTATGAAGAGGTTTTAAAATTCATTAAAAATTTATGTTACTACTGTTAGATTAATATCGTTAAAGCACGTTCCCAGGGCTGTTAGTCATGACTTAGACTCGTGTTATGACACTTATTTCAGCATTCTAAAATAGTAGTCTGCATAGTGCTGTATCAATTATGTCTGTTTATAGGCCAATCATTGTGGTGTCCAGAACTTCTAATGTCTATATCTATGCTAAACTTGAACATCTATGCTTTTAAGGGGCTTAATAACGAGTCAGCCTAACACTGCATTTTACCTATTTTCATTAAAAACTTACTATATCTAGTCAACTCAAAGTTAATACCACCATGGTGTTTAAAGATATTTAATTATCTATGTTATTTATGATTTTTGTATAGTATAAACTTCTATGTTTATTCACCTGGGTTTACCACCATTTCTATATAATATTAATCCAGGTTCATGGTTTTTATGCATTATCTAGTATAATTTCATTCTCATGATATTAAATAAATAAAAATATCACTTAATTTATAAACAACATTTTATTTTATCTTGTATGTATAATTATACTTATATGAGTAACTAATCACAATAAAAATGATTGTGGTATGCTCTCACAGAAACTATTATTGCTGATTTAATTATTTTCTCATTAAAATAATCAACTATGTTGAAGGGTCTATTGATTGCGAAATACCTTTATGAGATTAAGATATGTCTATTTCAATGACATGGGTATTTTTATATTCAGCCTCAATTAAAATGTATATATTTTAATAAAGTTAAGGTATGTCGGATATCTGTTGTTTCTCATATAGGTGTATGTTTATAATATAATTCTTTGTTTTTATCTAAGCTACTTTTGGTTACATTTAAAGTTTAAACTGTATTTATATATTATACTGAAATTGTAAAGTTTATTTTGTTTAACTAAAGATTTAATTTTATTAAATAGTAGATATATTTGTGGGTAGTAAAAAGGGCAATTCAAGGTTAATAGACATAACCTTGAATCTTTCACGGTGTTTATATTTTTGATTTTCATTAACAGCCAAATATATATTCTTGTTGCGTAAAGGTTTTTTTAGTTGTCATTTTACACATGGTGATTTCTATATAATAAGTAATAACTAATAAATAATAATAAATAAACATGCAAAATAAGGCATTATTTGAATGATAAATATGAATTTATCCATCTAGATAATTAAAAAAAACATATTGTGTCTACATTTTAATTAAATATATTTTTTTAAATATAATAGTGACTGCTTAGAGACCTAAACAGATCTGTAGTAAATTACCATTAAAATGATTACATAATATTATAAAAAGATATATTTAAATAAAGTAAAATTATTCTAAAATGTGTGTTTTGACTACAATTTATAAAAAATTTAAACGCTAAAATACAAAAATACATATATGTTTACAAATCGATTTACTTTTGATAAATATTAATGATTATTGATAATCAATAGTATGTTATATGTATACTAGAATAATAAGCCGTCTGTAACAAACCTGGGTAGGATGTTTGTTAGCTAAAATATAATAATTAATCTATTTTTTTGGCATAGGCAGAAGATATTTTTAGCTTTTAGAAACATAAAGGCTTTATTTTAAGATAGGATACAACATAAGATATTATTTATTCATAATTAATTAATAGAACATTTTTTTTTAGTTATAAATAAATATAGATAACTCATAGTTAATTAATATTAATTTTATGCAGTATTAATTGTAAATAATATTAGCTTGAGCATAATGTTCATGAATATATTTTTACAATGCAAAACCTTACAATGATGTTATTGTTTATTATTAATTACTAATGAATTATGATATTAGTATACAGATTATTATTACATATCAGTAGTACTTAAGTCAAATTATTTGATGTTTGGATGAATATCAACTCATCAAATGATTAGATTACCTACTATCATAATTAATTAAAGTCTATTTTTTTGAACTTACATCATTTCAGGTTAATGTTACCTTTAGACTATTACCTTATCTCTTGTAATTTCCATTGAAAGTACTTTGCCTTTTATAACTTGAAATACATTTGAGCATATTTTATTCAAGTTTTAAAATAACATTTAAAAATACTTAATATCTAATTATTGAGTACTTAATTATTTTCAAGTATGCAATATACTTATAAAATAAAATATATCTATAACTCTTGTCTTTAAATTTTTTCTTATGTATACTTTTAGACCTAAATCGTCTTTTAATCTTATAAAATATAAATGTATTTTGATAATTGTATTATTTTGGTCTTCAAAGTTCAAACTTTTTTATGATAGTATCTTTTTGTAAATATCAATTGTACCTTGAACAGCATCTTGATTTAAAATTAATGCTTTTTAGGTTTGTATGCTTCCTTTTCCTAAATGATAATCCTTCATTTATTTTCTTTGGTTACCTACTTAAATTTATCATATTATTTTATCTACCTAATAAAGTTAATCTTTAAAGCCACATTGTGTATTATTTAATTAAATATAAGCACTTATTTCTATTATTATTGCTTTATGCTTTTAACAGCTTTCAACTTTAAGGCGACTAAATTGAAACTATGATTGTATTGAATTTGATATGAAGCTAAATGTTATTTTTATGACATTTTATATCAATGATTACTATTATATTTATATCAGTGTAAGGCAATTTGACCGTAACCTCATTTTGACATTGCCATATAAATATATATTTGATTATCAGCCAATATTATCTAACAATTTTTTATCTGTTATTAACTATTCATTTAATTATTTTATTTAGACATTTGCTGACTTCAAATATCAACCGGTTTCCTTGTAACAAATCATGCCTATTTCAAAAATTGTAGCTCGTTCAATTTTCGACTCCAGGGGTAACCCTACTGTAGAAGTAAGTATTATTTTATAGTTCTGTTATACAATTGTATTTATTTTATGATGTATTTATTAAACAGGTCGACTTAACCATTGACAATGGACCAGTTTTCCGTGCAGCAGTACCATCTGGAGCTAGTACTGGTATTTATGAAGCATTAGAACTTCGTGATAATGACAAATCCAATTATCTCGGAAAAGGAGTTAATACTGCTGTTAACAATATAAACAATATCATTGCACCTGCTCTTATTAAAGCGGTAATTAAATATTATTTAACTTATTTATTACAATGTCATCTTCATAAAAGCTGAATTAATAGTTTTAGTATGTATATTTTATAATGAAGTATAATTTTATTTAAAATATGATTATTGTAATTGTTTTTCTTGATTATTTTGAAAAGTACTTTGAAATTTATTTTTAACCTTTTTAAGTATAATCTTGGTCTAATTTTTCAACAGAAACCCTATTAAGTTAAATATAAGAGTATTTTTTCTCCAGTAAAAAGTGTTAATGGAAATCAAAAACTCATTTTAAACTAATACATTCATTGCTTCTTTCAGAATCTAAAATATAATTAATTTAACATGTTAGTTGCCACGGGCCCACTGTCAGTCATACTACAATGTTCAAATTTTGTACTTTTATGAACACTGGTGCCCATAGTTGATAATTATTACCAATACTATATGACCACCGGCTACCATAAATTTATATTTTTTCAAACGGTTATATTTTTCATGGCACTACTGAAATTTACCTTAAAATAGTACCATTACGCAGAAGATATTTTAACAATTATTTTACTTATAGAATCATTTTAATAGCTTCAGTAGAACCAAAGATATTAATACATACAAATTAGGAATAACTTAGGAAAACACACTTGGTGTATTAATAAATCATTGAGTTTGATCACTGCCGGGCATACCGATGATTAATGTGTCAAATTTTGTAATTTTGATTTAAAATATTTATTTTATTATCATTGATTTATGTTTTCTATAGGGACTCATAGTTACTGAACAAAGAGCTATTGATGATATTATGTTAAAATTGGATGGAACTCCAAATAAATCTAAGCTTGGTGCCAATGCTATTTTGGGAGTTTCATTAGCTGTAGCTAAAGCTGGTGCTTTCAAGAAAGGAGTTCCTCTTTATAAGTAATTACATAGTAATTATATCAAAAAATAAGTTATTACTAATTTATTATTAATAACATTTTTAGGCACATTGCTGATTTAGCTGGAAACAAAGAAATTATTTTGCCCGTTCCAGCATTCAATGTCATCAATGGTGGTTCTCACGCTGGAAATAAGTTGGCTATGCAAGAATTTATGATTTTGCCTACTGGTAATATATTAAAATATTAATTACTAACATAAATACTGATCATAAAAATTAACTGTTTCATTAGTTATCTAATCTTGTTAAGAAATTCAAATATTTTTAATTTAAAAGTGAACCACATGTACCTAGTTTTTTTTTTTGTCAAGCATTTTATGTTCATATATAGATTTTAATATTTTGGTTTACTATTGAAATTACATATCGCTTAAGAAGCAACACTACCTATCTCAGTTTTATTTTTTTTTACACAATTTAATTTTTATGGAGATGAGTAGTATTGTCTTGAGATTTTGGATATGTTGTGCTATAATTTTTTCAATCAAAACGTTATCTATTAACTTTATCTTAAATTTGAGAATATCAGTTTGATTCCATCAACGGTGTTGCTAAATTTTATTTGACCTAAAAATGAGTTAGGCTGTGGTTGCTTCTTAAAAAATGATTAATGCTTGTGTGCACTATAGTATTTAATAGATAATGTGGATAAAAATTGGACAATAAACGCATAGTCTACACAGTGGTTCTTAACCTTTTTTTGTTCATAGTGCATTTTTTATAACTACAGTTTGACGGAACACTAGTAATAAAATAATAAAAAGCAAACAAAAAAAGGCATTCTTATTTTAATTATTTTTTATTATTAATATATTTTATAACTAAAAATTAATACCTAATAACACTACATGCATGTACCATGGTCGAGGTACATAAGTGTGCCACAAAACACCAGTTGAGAAACACTGGTCTACACTCTATGTTTAAATTAAAATTTTGTATATTGTTTACAATTTTAAATCTGAGCAATACAGCATAATATGTGTTTGATTAAATTAATTAAAAAATTGTTTCTTTATTCACCAATTAAATAGATGGGTTTTTTTTTAATTTTTAATAAAACATAAATATAATGACCAAGATTAGAAATTATTTAACTTTTAATTTCTGTGTTTAATTTATTTTATACAATTGATTATAAATAGGTGCTAGTTCTTTCACCGAGGCTATGAAAATTGGATCTGAAGTATACCACAACCTTAAAAATGTGATTAAGGCTAAGTTTGGATTGGATGCTACAGCTGTTGGTGATGAAGGTGGTTTTGCTCCCAACATTCTTGAAAATAAAGAAGGCTTGCGTTTAATTGAAACTGCTATTGAAAAGGCTGGATACAAAGGAAAAGTTGAAATTGGAATGGATGTTGCTGCTTCTGAATTCTATGTGTGAGACATTGATTTGATTTAATTTTTTTATTACATTTTAAGTTGCATATATTATGATTTCATATCTTAAATGACTAATAATAATTGCAGTGACGGAAAGTATGACTTGGATTTCAAAAATAAGTCTGACAGTAAAGATAAAAGCCAAATTATCTCAACTGAAGCTTTAACAGACTTGTACAAAGAATTCATTAAGGAGTTTCCAATGGTTTCTATTGAAGATCCATTTGATCAAGATCATTGGGAAGCATGGTCTACACTTACCGCATCAACTAATATCCAGGTATATCTGTCATTAAATAAGTACAGTTGACTTTCGATAATTTGAAATTAACAGGACTGTTGAAAAACTTTGATTTACCGAGAGTTTGAATTGTTGAGTAGTTCGAAATAACGAGAGGGCAAAAAAAATCAAATTATAGAGAGTTAAGAAAAAAATTTTGTTTTTTATTATTGTACATACATATTAGTTATTTCAGTAAATTAGGTGACATACATATCAGAGTTATTTATTGTTAATTTTATTATTATAAAAGATTATTATTTTTTGAAGAAATCTGCAATGGTTTTCTGCTTCATTGAATTTAGTTTCATTTTTTCAAAAATAAAACTACATTCGGCTGATGGCTATCGACGACTCGACAAGTTAAATAAAATTATGATTAGAGACGATTAAGAAATAAAACGATAAGGTTCTAACGATAATATTCTACAGTCATTGACAATAATAATCTAAATTTATACACGATTGTATAGTAAATTATTAATAAAAAGATTATAAGAATACAGATAAAATACATTTGGTGAATATATTATTTACTTCGAATTTCCGAGCATTGAACGAATGATACTTCAAATTGTCAAATGTTAGTGGCCAGTTTTCCCAAAATTTAATTTCGAATTACCGAATGTACTTAATTGCATTGTTTTTATTCGAATTACCGCGTGATTTTCAAGGGGCCGAGCATTTACTTCGAATTACTGAAGGTTTGAATTATCGAGAGTCGACTGTAATTTATACTTGAAAATGATCAGATCTCAACTCCAAGGAATGTTAAGAATGACATTTTACTGAAATGTGTTGTCATTGTTTTAAAGTGCTTAGCATAGTAAAATTATATTCAGCAATTTTAATTTAGCTTCATTAGTTTTATTATTTAAGTAAATTAATTTATTATTAAAATTTCAAGTTAACATTTTCCTGAGGTTGATTGAAGTTAATTCTGTCTCACTAAAAAGTTAACTTATTTTGATGTAAAACGGTTATCTTGTCTAGTGCTTCTAACACAAGTTAGTGTCTTTTACACAAAGTCAGTTATATTTAGTTGTGTTATGTTCATTATGATATAGCAATAGAATAACATGTTATCTTAGAACATATAGATGGAATTAATATGAGTTGGTAACAGTTTCTACAGCTCATTCTACATCTATAAAAGTAAAACTCTACCTTTCGTGTGATAGAGTATAAATGATAAGGTTTTTTAATATTTATTATTTAACAATATTAAATAAATTTTATTTTTTGGGTACTATAGATTGTTGGTGATGATTTAACTGTGACCAATCCAAAACGTATTGCCGAAGCTGTAGAAAAGAAAGCTTGCAATTGCTTGTTGCTTAAAGTCAACCAGATTGGTACAGTTACTGAATCTATTGATGCACATTTGTTGGCTAAGAAGAATGGATGGGGTACCATGGTATCTCATCGTTCAGGTGAAACTGAAGATACATTCATTGCTGACTTAGTTGTTGGATTGAGTACCGGACAAGTAAGTTTTTAAATAATAATTATCAAATTTATAATACTGCTAGAACCTAATTTTATACCATATACTATATTTGTATTTCTCTTAATTAATTTAATAATGATAATAATAATAATTGTAGATTAAGACTGGAGCTCCTTGCCGTTCTGAGCGTCTCGCTAAATACAACCAAATACTTCGTATCGAAGAAGAATTGGGCAGCAATGCTAAGTATGCAGGAAAGAATTTTCGCAACCCACAAGCTGGCAATTAATTAATTCTTAAAATGAAAAGCTAAGCATCTTTTAAACAACTCTAAGTTAGGAGGAATCATATACTAATAAATACCTTATAATTTATATTAAAAAAAAAAAACAATAGTTGTTATATTATTCATAATAACCGGTATATTCCTTTTGCATAGAAAAAATACGTACAAGAATGTTGTTAAACAGCATCCTAAATTATATTGTTCAATTGTTTATGTTTTTGTAGCAATTTGTTTTGTATTAATGTATAGTTGTGTAAAAGCTGTTGAAGCTGCAAACATTTTTAAAAAAATTGAAATATATATTCTACTTGGTCAGTCATACTTGTGTTAGAAATACTATCTTTGTGTAATACCTAAAATGTTCTTTTTATTTGATTTTAAAATTTTAAATGTATTTAGTCAATTTTATTGTAGTTAATTTGTGAGTGATTGAAGTAGGGTGAGTGTAAATTATGTAATAATAATTAGCTTTATTTTGAGTTTTGATATAATATTAATTTAAAAATATTTTGTTTTTATTAAATTCTCAGAATAATTTTGGAAAATAAGTTACCATATAAATCATAAGACATTAAATGATTTATACTTATCTAATTATAGAGTGGACAGTAAAATGACAGCCTTAGAAAAAAAAAAATGTAGACAACTTAAGTATGTAACTCGGTTATACTCAGAGTTATACAGAGAACACAAATATAATAAATTATGGTAACCAATGGAAATATGAATTCATAATTAATATAAAACTTATCTAATATTTAATAAAACCTTTAAGTTCTTTTCCAATCCTCAAATTTACTGGAAAAATTTGAATTCAAAATAATATGAATTATGATTTAGGATTTCACCTCATCTCCATGTCACCCTTAGCTATATGTGCTATGTGATATTTTATAATGTCATATAAACATACATACCCGTCGGAAGTTTATTTTCCCGGACGAATATTTCTTTTTTTAGTCCATATTTTCGCTTTCCTTTTCTCTTTTTAATTCCACCAGGATGTTCATATATTTATATATAGTATATATTATAAACGCGTACAATGCACATATTTTACGTATACCCTGCGTGAGTAAATAGACTATGTAGGGGCGTGAAACGATTTGCATTTTTATTTTTCAACACGTCCTGCAATATCGTGCAGTATTAGCATTTGCGAGAGTATTATTGTCGAGGACAACTTTATAAATAATCTGATTTTAATCCAACTCTCAATTACAGCTGGACTAACTAGTTTTACTCGTAACGGTGATGATAATGATCTGTGGATTAGAGACAATATAAACCTACACTCTTCTATAAGTTTTGCGTATATATAAACTAAAGGTAGGTTGAAGCCTGCTCATATACCTAATTCCCGCCGTGGAGATTAAAGTTACGTATACCTTTAAGCAGGTACTTTTAATTCTTTTATACCTGTATATTTGAAGCTTGGAAGAATGGATAGACCTTATAAAATGTAGTACACCATAAATCAACGCGATTGAAGTTCAAAATCGAAGGCTATGGCATGTGATATTATGAATAATTAATACCCAATTATTAAGTATTATTAAATATGGTGAATTGATATATATATAACCTATACAAAAAACTATTTATATGCACATATTTAAAGAATATTAAATTTTAATATTTTTAATCATTAATTTTGCAGGATATTACAGTACTTTTTTTATTTTATTTATTTTTAACATATTTGTTCTGTTGAAAAGTTTCAATATTCAATAACAAAAGGTCCCTCGTGAAATTTTTTACACCAGTTACAAAAATACTGAAAGTATATATTATATAATATAGTCACAATTTTTACAAGCAACGTAGGTTAATTCTACGATTGCGTGTTTGGGTTAATAAAAAAATACTACCTAAAATAAATATAAAATAATAACTAATTAAATAACAGAACAAAAATGTTTATTTACGTTAAAACAATTTGCAGTAGTCGACAGTCATCTTACCATAATTAATATTTGGCTTTTTATTTTAACATACCTTCAGACATTAAGTATAAACTATATACACAGGGTATTTTATTTATCATGAACTTATCATATCAAAATTTGCTAACATTTTAGGAAATATTTTTTTACATAATTTCAAATTAAAATAAAATGATTTTTAATATTTTTTATCGTTATAACTTTTAAGTATTTTAATTTTAAATGAAAATATACATTTTTAAAGCTATATTCTGAAGCAGAGTATTTCGATACATATAAGTAAATATTCGGATGTGTAGTTAATGAGTTATAAATATTTAAAGTTTAGGTTGGTTAGCTGAGTAGTAGACTGACGTTTAGCGGGATATCCCGTTTCACTTCACTCTGCTCATCTAAATTTTAAATGTTTATAAATTATAACTATCAATCCGCATTTCAATTTTTTTGTATTAAAATATAGATTTAAAATGTTTAGTGTCATTCAAAAAAGTAAAGAAACTTAATAATATGTTGTAACTGCAGTGGTGGATTTGAGGGGATATCACCGCCACGTAACTCCTTTGAGTTATTTTGTACAGTACAGAGGTGGCCCAATGGCGGTCCACGAGTTTTTTTTATCTGGCTCGTCCTATATTAATTTACATTATGAACAAAATTAATGCCAATTAAAATGCATATTTTGAATGACTTTTTTGCTTTCTATGTTCTGGGCCGCTAGATTTTAATTTTCTAAAAATTGGCCCTCTAGTATTTTTAAATTGCCCATTCCTGGTATAGTATATTAAAACATATCTGGAACTTCCCCCACCCGGAAATTTATTTTCAGTTACGTCATTGTTAATACCTATGAATCTATGATACCAATTCGTTCCCTCCTTAAATACTTCAGATCCGCTACTGGTTATAACGGTAAAAATGACTAAAAATATAATTTCAAAAAGAAATGTTTAAATAAACTAAATTATGTAAGAAAAACATTTTCAAAAATAATTAGTGACTCATGACAGAGAATTGCCTAGGTATAGTATTCTATGATACGAAAAATATGTACAGTGAAACACGACTTCGATGTGGTGGTATAAACCTTTACGTCCGCTTCCATATCGAACGATGATTAAATTTAACCGTGGTTTCTGAGGGCTCGGTCCTTGCAGTTGTTAAGATTTTAGTAACATCGGCTGAAACTTGCATTGGAATGCATTGCTTCAATCGCATCAGATATCACTTGTATTGAAACGCTTGGCATTAAATTCCATTGTTTGGCCTTGTCTTTATTTGGTTTCACAGAAACCGGTAACGTCGATGATGATGAATGGGTCTTGACTTTTATAGTTGGCTTCATCTATGCCGCGTTTACAATTTCTATGTAACGTTTCTGGGCAAAATGCAGTAGATTTTGCTGGTTCGACTGCATCATCATCATTGCCAGACGTTATCGCGGTGATGTTAAACGTATAACTATTTGTGGTATAGTTGCCAAAATGACATTTTTGGATTGATCATTTGATGGTTCTTTTAAAAAGGGTTGCATCGAAGCCGCAGCAATTTTTATATCAGACTTAATATTTTGCACGATTATTATTTATTATTGTATGCGTTAACATTTTTTTATGATAAATTTACACGATGTTGCTTTAAGAAAAGAATAATAATTATTCAATGTGTTCTTTGTAAGAATAATACTAAAATAAACAGTAAGACGGACATAAATATCTTATATTTTAATACAAACAATAATTTTTATTTAATTAGTTAACGACTATTTGGGCAAAGAGAGCACAAAAAATGATACAAAATGAATAAAAGAAAAGAATAACTACTATGAAATATCAAAATTTGTTATCAAAATTGATGTCAAGTGCAGGGTCTTTGCATTCCTTTTACGCCACGACTTGAATGATCTTAATGTAGTATGCAACTTTAATAGCTGTAAAGTTTAGAACGGTGAGGTACACATAAAATTAGTCATGAAACGAATATTAAAAGCGGGAATACGTCAGCTTATTTTTTCAAGTATTTCAGGACTGCTTATTTTATTATTTAATGATTTATGAATTTAAATGATGCATTGTTGAACTAATGTTTGCGAGATGTAAAAGAGTGCAAACTAAGTTCGAATCATAAGTTATCAACCGAAATGCTTAATTTAAACTCATATGATAGGTGTCTTGAAAATTAAGATTATTCAAACGTTGATTTAGTCCAACTTGATAAGAACTCTATGTTCAATTCCCAGACGAACGAGAGTTTTCAAACTTTTTAATATTTCAAATACATATTTGAATACTATGTATGATGTACATATAACACAAATAGAATATTATATTTTATATTTTTTATATGTTATATGAATTTTTGCGGTTTTGCAGTCATCTACGAATTGTACATTTTATCGATTCTATCTTTAAGTTTTCATATTGACACAACTGTCAGATAACAAGTTACAACACTAAAGTAATAATAATGTTTAATATCTGTATAGCTTATTGTTACATAGCGATGGTAATAGTATAAACAAATTATTAATGGTATACGTTGACTACTTATTAGTTGTTACTGTTATTAGGTAGGTAGGTACGCAGACAGCATAGTACCTATTGCACCTGTTTTGATTTTATTATGCTGCTACATATCTATTAGCACATTGGATTGGTTACCGGTTAACTATTTCTTATTTTATTTTGGCACGGTATAAAATACATACATTATAAATAAATATTTTAGAAAACGAGAACCGATACTTGTACATACCGCAACTTGTGCGTTGCATATTATTTTGATACGAGCATTGAATTGTTAATAGCAGGAATCTATTAGGAACGAATTCTTAAATAAAAATAATTAAAACCACTACACATCAATACATATTATTATTAAACACTCATGGGTGAACGAATAGAATAATATAGGTAGAATCTACCTATGCTATAAGCATGCTATAGATGCTTAAATAGTTATATTATACCTATGCGCGTAAATAATTTAAATACCTATATGATATTAAATAATAATAATATGTTATTGTTTGTTTATAATAATTTGCAGAAAAATGTTTATTAGTTATAGCACACCTATATTAGTTTGGTACCTAAAAATTATTATATTAATAATTATACGTTTTAGAAATTTTGAAATCGTAAAATGATTCACGTATCTAATAATTTTATTATCCTAGAATAACAGAAAATAATTGGACATTTTGGTTTATGATAATTATTTTGATTATATTATATATATTGATGGCTCGCACTGTTATACTATCGGTAAGCAGGGTAAGCTTCAAATTTGCATATCGAGAACTCGAACTTAATCATACATATTAACATTTTAAAATATTTTTAGGAAGACGTTATAAAAAATATATTATGTTTTT